ACAAGTGACTAAAACCATAGAGGTATGCAGATATCAAGCTGTCTCATATACTGAAGATAATCTTCATACCAGGCTGCCAATTAAGCTGTTCTTTTGTTATGGAGATAGTTTCTAATACATACCAGATGGAATTCTGTGCTGGTACTAAACTTAAAATAAAACAGACACAGATAGCTGTGTCTGACAGAGCATATTGCCCCAACTCGGCGACAATCTGATCTTAATTTCCTATAGCATTTCTTCTAATATTTCAGTTTACTGTGTTGGTCTCAAAAGGGTGGAATCTACAGGCACACTTCAGAAACTAGGTAGACCAGGTGAACCTTGAAATCCAACATACATCTTGGCAAATACGGTAAGATCTTTCACCTTTATCTTAAGGCAAGAGGGTATATATGAGTTTATTTTAATATACTGCAGAGTGCTTGGGTTGTGAATGGACACCCATCTCTGTTGCTTATATAAGATAAAAATTACATACAGTAATTAAAACATGTCCCTCTGTCAGCCAGTTCTTTGAGAAGGTGGCAGCTAACACAGCTGACAGTGAATAGCTTATATAATAGGTAATTACACTCTTGCGCTAATAAAACATAAGGTATGCTGTAACTTAGTTTATAATGTGGAAGCATCTTCTGCGTGATGAGTGGTATGTGTATTCAATGGATGGAGGATGCTGAAAAATCTTCAGCTATGCCATTTACCTACAGCACTGCATTTTGTGCATAGCGTTAGTCTGTAAAAGGATCAGTTAAGTTGGATCTTAGTATTTTGAATGTGACAAAAGAATGAGTCCTTGCATATCACCAGCTTGTGGGGGAGCTGTCCCCAGCTACTTAAGTGGTGTATGTTTACTAAAACTGTCTTTTTTTATAATATTTTTCAGTTCTTGAGCAGTACAAACCAATGCAGTATACAAAATCATACAGCAAAGAGTAACAAATAAATCTTGGTTTGCAATGCAGTCGGTAGGGGAGAGTGGGTAGTTATGTTGAATGCTTTTGATGGAAATCAAACATGAATAGGCATATTGAGGATGAACAGTGAAGCACTGTGCTTCTGGACAGGCTCAGTCAGACTGTCAAGTAACCAGCAGTTAACCCTTTCTATTTTCAATTCATTGCATACATTTAGTTTTAGTCTTTAGCTCACCATTTCCAAACTGCTACCACTGCTACCAGACAGGAAGAGAGCTGTCACTAGCTGTCTGCTGGCAGAGCAAGGGCAAGTTCAGAAAGCCTTTCCTTTAAAGTATAAGGTATGTCAATTGTTATTTCTAAGGTATACACTGGAATAAACAAAAAGCAGTATATTGCTCTTGCCTTAACATGCTAGGTAGAAAAGACTTTGGAGCCTGCGTGGAATAATTGCCTAAAGATCTCAAGTTTAAAAAGCAAAACAAAAAAACCAAATTCATATTGGAGGCACTTAAAAGGAGAGTTCAACTGTATAGGAGCACCTATAAAATTCTCTCATAGCTTTATAGAAGAACAACAATTTCAGGGAGTGTGGGCAATAATTTTTTTGTTTGTGGATCCTGCAGAGCACAATGTGTAGAAGAAAATCCTGAACTTCTTGCAGGAGAACAGAAGCTATCACGTTCTATATGTTCTCTCAATTTGGCATTCTGAATTGGAGACTTAATTGCATCAAGCTAGGAGAGGCTGTGTAAAACACTGCCAGCAAGTGCCACGAGTAACAACTCTCCCAGCACCATTTTCTTGCATTGGGCTTCTTGTACTCGTCCTCCATAGGATCTCGCCATGTTCTGCAGAAAAGTTTTCTCTGCCATACAAGAAGCCTGAAAAATTGGAGGCAAACAAACTTCACTGGAAATACTTGGAAGACTGAGGTCTGTCTTTCTGCGTGTATCTTACTGAAAGCTGCTGCTGCTGCGCAGACAAGTTTGCTGTTTTGGTGTCTGGACACACGGCTAAATGAAGTTCGTTGAGAATTTGAAGTAGGTAAAGAAAGGATGAGGTAATTAGGTAATTGTAGCGCCCGGGAAAGGCCACTAGGAGGAGCCAATGGACAAAGGAGTAACGTACAAAATAAGCTCAACTCCTTATTTCCCTTTTAGAAGTGCACCCTTATTTCAAAATCAGTGACATCCTGCAGTCACCCTTTTCTTTGGTTACAGGGTGTAAATAAGCTTTGACATCCAGGATACTAATATAGAAATAGGTATCTGTTGCATGTTTACTTTTCTGGAAGATGGTGGTTGTTCTGTAAAAGTGGAAGACCTTCACCAGCTGTGGAATAATCATATATTGTTGGTGTATGCTTTATTAGTTTGCTGCCTTTTAAAGGAAAGTCCTACTCATAGGGCTAGAAGAACAGATTTGATGGAATTTTTTTACTCCTTCAAGAAAGAGGAAGACCTTGGCAGTTCAAATGTAAATATCCTCTTACTGCAGCTAAATTTATTAAACTTGTCAAAGTTGTAAATGCTAATTGTTCTGGGAGGTGAAAGATTAACTTCAATATTACTGTACGGCCGCTATGTAGAGGTAAAGGAGAGCAAGTTGGCTGGTTGATGATTTAATGCTGTTCTTTAAAAGCTGCTACCCTATTTCATCCAGTCCTTACTAAACAGAATGTTGACTCTACTAAGGGTAAGAGGTGTTTATGTGCCCTTACATTAGTTTGTTTCTTTGCAGTTTTAAGTAATACCTCTTTGTCCTGTACTATCTAAAGTAGTACTGTAGTCTTTCACTCGTGTGTCTCTGTGATCACACATTCAATAGTACATTCTGTGCAACAGTCCTTTTCGTAAGGGGAACATTTTCTGCCTTGTGCTAGTATAATTGTAAATCTGGTACATCTGTACTTTACCTGGGACTTTAATTTGCTTGATGATATGACTAAGAAAGTCTGTAAGAGCCCATCTACGCCACAGACTGTAATTCTTTAGAAGCTGTTCTTAATGATACAGGATGGAAGGATGGCTCTTGCTGTGAGGTAAATAAGTGCATGTTACAGCCATTGGCTCTAACCCTTAAAAAAAAAAAAATTAAATTACTCCTCCTTCCCATGAAAAGGATGTTTCAAACGCTTCCACCTCCAGCTGTTTTCACTAGTAGTTGGCACTGGCTAATGTGCCTCTTGCCTAGGTCAGCCCTGGCCCGTCCCTCGTTCAGGCGGGGCAGTCACCTGCAGCAAGGAGGCCTCAGCGCAGATTTGGGGGAAAAGGACTCCCAGCTCTCTGCTGGAGCAGTTGCACAAACCAATTATCTGACAAATGCTTTTCCCTGCCTGCTAGGAACAAATGTTATTTTCTCACCCAGACATATCCCAGGGGCCAGGGCACCCTTGTTTTGTGTTTCTTTCTTGTTCTGTGTTTTGTCTTTTAACGTGTCGAATTGCCTGAGCCAACACCAGGTACTGAAAGGCTTAGCAGTTGTCCCTTCTTGAGGGACAACTCTTAAATACCGTCAAGTAACTTCACGCGCTTCTCAAAATATTCTCCGTTTTGCAAATTTTTACAGCGTTCTAGGAAGATGATGTATTTCCTCACGACACGCAGAGGTTTCCCTCTTTGCAGAGGGGGGTATGCTTCCCTCGGGGTGTAGGTACGGCTGGG